AATACAATGGTTTCTATTAAGTAAATTAGTCACTGCTGTCAGTGACTATATGTATTTTATTTATTTATTTTTTATTTATAATATTTATATTTATTTATGAATAAATTTAGAAATTGAAAATAAAAAGTTGCATATCTAATAGTTCCATTAAAACCTTAAAATACGAAACCTCTCTATTAAATACAATGGTTTCTATTAAGTAAATTAGTCACTGCTGTCAGTGACTATATTTATTTTATTTATTTCTTTTTATATTTATAATATTTATATTTATTTATAAATTAATTTAAAAATTGAAAATAAAAAGTTACATATCTAATAGTTCAATTAAAACCTTAAAATACGAAACCTCTCTATTAAATACTATGGTTTCTATTAAGTAAATTAGTCACTGCTATCAGTGACTATATGTATTTTATTTATTTATTTTTATATTTATAATATTTATATTTATTTAAGAATAAATTTAAAAATTGAAAATAGATAGTTGCATATCTAATAGTTCCATTATAACCTTAAGACATTTAGCAATTAATTCATGGCACATCCCGATAACTTTTGCTCTACAACATTCAATGTTTATAGGCAACAATTGCAACGTACAGAATGTCAATTTATTAAATCGTTTACCATGTTAAGTTGAAAAAGCATATTTTATCATCGTTCCTTTCTTAAACTCTCAGTCAGCAAGAAAAATAAACCAAATGAGATTTTATCGTATTATTTATGTGGTTAAAAATTGATTTTCGCACCATGCGACGTATGGTGATCATAGGATAGAACCATAAACTAAACACCGACATTCAGATATACCTACGAGTATGTAGCTGGCATTGGTATGGAAATCGACATCTTTAAATAATTCCCCATAGAGGACACAAAACGGCAGGAAAGATATTCCAATTTTAGTGAGTTTTCTCCTTTTTATTTCTGTTTGCATTACGTTGCCGTTATCTGCATTAAATTATAAATTATGAGCATTTCATTGCAATTTATAACCAAACAGAAAAGGAAAGAAGGCATAGAAATTGAAAAAAATTAATGTCCCTTTTTAGATGCCGTCTAGCCTTGTTTGAATTGGTGTCCAGCACATCCAATATGAATAGCAGACCATTAATATATGTTTAAGTGTAAATTTCTGGTTAAGGAATCATACCAAACCTCTAACACTGAGACTATCAAAGGCAACAACAACAACAACAACAACACCAAGAACAACATCAATCTGAATATATATTTTTAAATATGAGAAATTACCCGCATCGTCTGATATTCGACTTGAAAGCTGTCATATAAATTCAGATTAGTTATTTTTGCAATATTTTTTTTTTCGTTGCTGTGGAGGCAATACGATGTCGTATGCTTACATGGCTGGAAACATGCCACAAATTGATGCAAAATACAAGAATCACAGATTGATGGCATTCAAAATTGAAATTTATTCTTGTCTCAGTTGAGAGTATACAGGATATGCACAACGCAATGAACGTTGAACAACAACTAAGAGTACATAACGTATCTAAAGATATGAGTATCTGTACAAAAACTATCTGTCTACGTTAGAAAAAAATTCAAATTGTACAGGCTGTAAATGCAGGCATACGGGTGGGTACATGGCAAACTAATAATGCTAATAGGTCGGTAGTGGAAAAAATCTCCTAAATTTTGGAAATATTTTTATGTGAAATATATGTACTGAAATATTTTGCATGCATTTCAAACAACTAATCTCTCACAACGTAGAAGTTCAGTTTTCATGTTTTATCTTTAGTTATTATTTGCAGTGTAAAAAAAATTGTACCATGTGAAAATACCGAACACCATTTCCAAAAATAGCACTATTTTTAACAAAAAGTACACTTCTTAATAAAAGTTAATATCTTTAATAATAACAATAGCTAAAAACCGGTAACAAAGTTGTTTTTGTGTGAGGGGAGTGGGTATTACAAAAATGTCATGTCTACATTACGGCTGCACTCAACTACATTTATCCATTAATACAGTAGCGTCTCTTAATGTATTATAGTTTTTGCACCTCTCTTATTGTTTCTGAATTTTAAATACAAATATAGTTCATGTTTTGCAGAGCCAAGATTTGAAAAAGCTCATTATTCCTCTTCATGCGATAATCCATATTTTCTGCTACCAACAAGTTTAAATATTTTGTGGAATATTTTTCTTTTGAAAACCCGAAAGTTAATCTTTACACTAACGTCTAAAATCAAACCTCAGCCATATGCTTTGAGGTGTGCCACACATTTATTGGGCATAATATATTCTATTTGCTATCATTAGGTGTTGACTTATACAGCTTATTTTTATTGATAACTATCTTCAATTACACTAATTCCGAGACAGCTGTACTTTAACTAGTACTCATCAATTTTTATTAATCTAGGCGTCGATTTTCACTTCTTTTTAGATTGTTGTTGCCATTCTTGGAACTACGCAATAGACCTCGTCATTCCATTAATTTCGCCATTCCCGTTATAATAGAAAAGTGCTTTTCTATTCTTTCTTTATATCGATTGGTAACTGCAGTGTCATTAGCATATGGAACAATCTTTAATAAAGGGGATGGCTTTTGATCTTAAAACCTGATTTGGTTGGGTTTTATATTTTAAGTCATTTGGTAAAATGAAAAGAAATTTATTACAAAAAAAATTGTTCAAATTTTTTTCGTTAGAGATATGAGGCCTGATTTTTTGAGAATATGCATTTTAGAATAAGTTTTGAGTGACCATATCTCAGGCTCCGTAAGCAATAGAGAATTAAAATTTCTTGTGTCTTAGAGGTAAATGATAGAATATTTTAGAGATAGTTTAAAAAATTAAAACTGTTAATATATTAATACTAATGTTAAATATTAATTTCAAAATCAATAATTTTTTTTTAAAATAAAACATAAATAAAAAACATAAAAATAAAATAAAATTTTTTTTACAACATCTTTTGGCTGTTATGGAGTATGGTTTAAAATCACAAAAGACTACTAATGGCATAAGTATTCAAGTGTACCTACAGACAGAAACGACGTTTTTTAATTTGTGATAGTCCCATCAGAGTAATATAGAACTACAGGCCAATCTATTCCATCATGTTACCCATCAGAAACCACAGCTCCATCTGATCAACTGTTATTGAGAAATACTAAAATATAGATACTGTCTAAAATTATTTTGCCTATATCTTAATCCAAATGAAGTAGAAATCGAAATAAAATTAACTCATCCAGTCTTGTGGAATGTAATCTGGAATCTAATGTTGACATGAAATTTTATAACGCTTAATAGTCCGATATTGTTTTGAATGGTACTGCGTTATATTATCAGTATTTACAGTAACATGCTATCGACAGAAAAAACCTTCCATAACTTTTGATAAGGTACATAAAATTAGTTTTTCCCCAAATGAATTAAATCCGGGAATTTATATAGCATATGATTTGGTTCTGATGGTTTAAATCCGGATATTCACATGGAATATGTTTAGAAATCTGATATTTTTACTGATGGAAATATGGTAGTATTGTATCACACCAGATGCCTAAATTGTACAGCAAAGTCAGTGTGTCTCATCCAGTTGTCCTTCAGTGCCTATAGTTCTCTATTACTGGGAAGGGCAAACTTTTATACTCATATGAATGCGTTGTGAAAATTAGGGATATAAGGCTCACTCAAGGGACTCATTCTTTGATGTTTTCTCGAATATTCTACACAAGCTGATATCAAACCATTATTAAATCTGTTAAAATAGCAATATATAGAATAAGCAATAAATATTTAAAAAGATTATTATTGGAGCATATTGGGACTTTTTATTAGAAATCCGCGTTATAACCCATACTTCTTTGCAAAGTTTGTTCTAGAATATCAATTTAGGTTTTCCGTTTTGATGTTGGAAAAGCATTTCAGCTTAACAAATTAATTGGAAAAAATTTGAAACACGCAAAATATTGTTTGTATTTATTTGAAAAATGCTTAATTTTTTTTTTTAATATGAAATGTAATTTTAAATTTAATCTTCTACACAACATGACGTTCTAGTAACGTTGAAATATTGCGTGACTATTCCTGCGATTTCATACATCCAATAATTATAATTCCATACCTTTTTTTAATTAAAATTTTTTCCTTTTTTTTTTTTAATTGGAAAATTTCTCAAGCATCGAAGTTTAAGGACGAGGCATGAAGGTGAGCTATGTACCATATACTTAATTAAAATATGTTCAAATTTTAAATGCTGCGAAAAATTGTTTCAATTTTGTTGTATTCAGAGAAATATGAAAAAATATTCTGTGGAAATAATAGTAAAAAACCGAAATGAATGCAACCAAATTAGAAGGATTTTGTTGGCATGGTAGTTAAATCACACGTTAGTGCTGCAATGGAACTTAGTTCAGCCCAAACTGAGCTGAACTAAACTTAACTTAACTGAAATGAAACGAATTGAAAGGATTGTATGGATTTGAGGTGATATTAACTCAGTTAAAATCGTAAAAACGAAAATGTTTGGACCACAGCACTCAGGCAAACGCGATTTGTGCGCACACATATGCCGTCCATAGTAAATCTGATATGAATGAAATAGTCCATTTGTCGAAAAAAAATTTGGAAATTAAGTCAAATGGATTAAAATTTTACATAAAAAAGGTGAGCAAAACTTCTGCACTTAGCAGAGCTGTAACCGCAAAGGGTTAAGCTTCCACTAAAGTTACCATCACATTTCGGGACAATATTTTCAAACATGGAATAAATTTCGAAGACTCATAAAAGGTCGTGCTGGGTATAAAAATTTATTCCGACACTACTTCACTGTGCTTTATAAAGGGCTTAACTTGATTACTTTTGCGTACGTTTTGAATTTTTGAAGGATTTTATTTGATTACAATTCGCTTTTTCAGATAAATGGCAAAATATGATGAATTGCACATACATATGACAAAATTCCGTGGGAATTAAAAAAGGAACTAAAGTTATAATTAAAATTTGAAGACTTACCTTCGATATTTGAAATGCCGTGCAGGCAATAGAGTTTTGGTGGTGTTCGTACGGGGGTGTTATTGTTATTACTGCTATTAACAACATTCCCACTGGTACTGGTAGAGGGAGCGGTGCCATATCCCGTACTTTTCTGTTTGAACTCTCTGAAAATATAATAGTAAAGTGATTATTATTATTATTTCCTTCTGTATTATAGTGTTCAGTAAAATAAATAGTTTTTTTGTGAAGGATAATAACTAATTAAGTGAAAATTATTTAACTTAAACTACTCGAACTAGTACATTTTTCTTTGCCTATTATTTGTATTGATAAGCATAAGAATTCATTAAGGAATTTATTGAAGGACAAAAGTAAATACAGAAAAAAATAGAGATTATATAATAATATTCACAAAGGAACAAAAACATAAGGTCATCTATACATACTATGTAAAAAATATCTGAAGTTTGTACGAGAACGGTTTGATAAGTCAGTGACTTTTTGAATAAAACAAATTTTTTTCGGCAAATAAACATTTTATTTTTCTACATAATCATCTTTTAGCTCGTTTCATTAAGTCCAGCGTTTTTCTAATTTTCTTATTCCCTCCAAATAAAAGGTTTTCTCAAAGCTCTCAAAATACGCGTTTGTTTCGGTAATGACTTCTTCATCCGACTCAAATCTCTTACCGCCCAGCCATTTCCTTAGGTTTGGAAACAGAAAATAGTCGCAGGCGGCTAAATCTGGAGAATATGCTGAATGGAGTAGCAGTTCGTATTTTTTCCATTTTCGTAAAAATTCACGATGTTGTCTGATTTGAATGGCTGTCAAACACCAACTGAACTTTGTAGCTTGCTTAAAATTATAAAGTTGCCCACTGGTAGATTACAGGTGACGGCAGTACTGTTGCATTTGGAGTAACTGCGCGGGAATTCAAAAAGTCACTGACTTATCAAACTGCCCACGTATTTTGAAATACATACGTAAAAGATACTGTCACCTTTTTTCTCTACACATAAATTATTGAGGACTCATACTTTTGAACATATTATTCAACATATTATACTATACTAACAAACTAATTATACATGTTAGTCAAAATAGGCAGTAGGTGGCTTCATTTAAAAGACGATTATAAAAAACTGGTGTATGATAACAGAAAAAATCTTTAGCAAAAGAATGTATATTTAATGGACGCAAGATTTCTATACGTTTTTTGGTACATTTTTGAATAAAAATTTTCTTTATTGAAAATTAATTATAATCAAATATTAGAAACGAATTAATCCTTGCACCAAACTGAAGCGGGTAAGAATAGACGATACCTTTTCAATCCCACTACATACTCAACATCATTTTTTGTTTCCAAACTGAAGTTTTTAGTAATTTCTGGAAAGTTCCTAGTTTATGACAATGATCGCATGCATAAGATGTAATAGTCAATTCTTTTCTAATCCCATCACATCCAACATAACCTTTTTTGTTTCCAATCTGGTTTGTAATCATTTCTAGAAAGTTTTCCATTTTTCACTATGATTATTTGCATAAGATATAATAAATGCTTTTTTTCCAATTCCACAACACACTCAAAATAACCCTTTTTGTTTCTAATCTGGTGTTCGTAGTCATTTCTAGGGGAGTCCGCGGTTTTTGACTATGACTATGATCACCCAACATAACCCTTTTTATTTCCAATCTGAAGTATGTAGTTATTTCTGGAAAGTCCTCGGTATTGGACTATGATCACTTGCATAAGATATTCTCGTATTTAATCAATTTTACTTGGTCGTTTAAAAAATGGTTTAAATCACTGTTCAATGAAATAGCTTTGCGTTAGGGTACGAGTAGTACCCTAACATCGATCGTTTTTGTGTAGCCTGCTCTTTTTAAATGATTTCAAAATTCTCTTATCGTTGCTGTTTAGTATTACCGCTATCTTCTGGCACCGATGTACATCTGTGATAACCAAATTTCCGGAACGAAAGAGAGCAAACCACTCCCGGCGTTTACTCACTGCATCCTCTCCTGCAATCCATACAAATTTGTCAGCAGCAGTTTTGCTTTTTTTTATAGTAATAAGTTATCACTGGCTTCCAAATCAAATTTTACAACTATCTTCACAAAAAAATATAGCCTAAAATATTTGGCATAATATGATAGTAACCACGAAAGGAAACACGCCAGGGAAGAAAAAGCCTTTACTTCCTAAAAAATCTGTGAAAAATGTGTGAAAATGGATTTGTTCACACACTGGTATAGTTGTATTGCAATACTTTAAAAGCAAAAATATAAATTTTGATTGATTTTCTTGTATTATTTACAACTAATCAATATGTTGTAAAAAGATCCATTGAACTTTTTTCAAATCTGAAATAAATTCTTGGTATATAAGAAGGACAAGTAATTTTTTAGAAAATAAACCATTCATTATGGCTCTATTTCAAGCATTATTAATTGTAACTGATGTATAATGCCATCAGTAATACCACCGTATCATATCCTTTAATAGTTATAAGTTCGATTTTCTAATAATGTCCTTGCAAATAGTGACTCTGATAGGAGTTGTGGAAATTAATTGGTGGTTAAGAAAATATGTATAGCATACTCTCAGGAATCACAAGCAGTTATTGGAAATATTAACATACTATATTTCTGAAGTACAGAAATTGTGGATAAAGAATAATATGAATATATTATTATCATCTATTTTTATTATTATTTATTATATCTTACAGTGGCTGTATATAAGAGTAGATATCTGAAGAAACTATATAATTGTGAATTATTCACAATCAATTAAAATTTACTTAGTTTTTGCTTGTTTTAAATTTAAAATAATTGTTTTATATTTGCAACTTAATAATTTAAACTGAAAAGATTTAGTGCATTGATAAAGCAATTTAAAGATAAACAATTACATTCAACCTTAGATGAACTCTTAAGATATCTCGCTTTAAATAACTAATATTAGTAATAAAGTGTGGATTTTTATGAAAAATTTATAAATCTAACAAAAATATAGCTCTTTAAAAATATATAAATACAATTTTTCAGAAAAATCCAACTTTAATCGACTTCAGTCCAAATGTAGAATTGAAGAATTCTTCAAATTTCAATTGCAATTTTTAATACATTAAGACCGAAAAGTTTTCGGAAATTCTCATTTAAAATTCGCGCGCTGTATATTTTCCGATATTTTAAGTTTATGTAGTTTGGCAGCACTGTCCTTAATTACTATGCCAAAAATGAGCGCGATCTGTCAGACAGTTCGTTTACGGCAGCTGTTGAAACCAGTTCACCTCAGTAGGGCGTTGCGAAAAAAACAATGGAAAAAAATATTGAACAAAGAGTTTGCATCAAATTTTGTGTTTCGAACGAAATTTCGTGTGCAGAATCGTTGCGAATGCTACAAAAGGCTTATGGGGAATCAGTTTTATCGAAAACTCAAGTTTATGAGTGGTACAAAGCCTTCCAGGACGGTCGTACGACCGTCGAAGACATTTCGCAACGCACTACTGAGGTGAACTGGTTTCAACAGCTGCCGTAAACGAACTGTCTGACAGATCGAGCTCATTTTTGGCATAGTAATTAAGGACAGTGCTGCCAAACTACATAAACTTAAAATATCGAAAAATATACAGCGCGCGAATTTTAAATGAGAATTTCCGAAAACTTTTCAGTCTTAATGTATAAAATAATTGCATTATCACTATTGTGAGGTACATAAAAATGTTTATACGAAAATTTTTCATAAATATATCAAGGATTCTTGAAAAAGATTTACCGTCAACTGTAGTGCATCATGAGCTTCTTTTCTTCATACCAGAATGTAAGATATTTTAACTGAATGCAATAATATATTTTTGTTGGCAAATTGTACGATGAAATACAATTTATGAATTATTTTGTATAATAAGAAAATATTAAATGTTTGGTGATATAAATATTTCATACCAAGAAAGCTGTCCGAAAAAAAGCATTTGCAATACTTCAAATCAAATAAGAGAAATATAAGTCTATAGAATTTCTGTGGATATACTTGAATTGAAGACTTTCAAAAAATCAAAATATATGTCATAATATTCAGTAGCAACGAGAGCACATTTATTAAGAAATAAAATAAAAATAATAATCAAACACTCTTAATAATTCTAGTAGATCTAAGTGACATCAGACACTTAATGCTCAGCTTACCAAAACAAAGCTCTGCAGAATTTCTTCGTGATTTCTTCAATGACTTTATGAACTTTATTCACAAAAAAAAAGTAGTCCAAAATTGAAATTTACAAAGTAACGAAAAGCTTTGTAAAAGAACCAAAATTTCTCATCTAGTTAAAGAGTAAGGACTCCAGAGTACTGATGGGAGCCAACGGAAATCAAAACATAGATAGACATCACATTGCTATTATAGGTGATAATATAACTCCATGTCAGTTATATGTTGATCATGTTAACAACACACAGCACTTCAACTATTTTTGTCCACTATTTGCAAGAATTGCACTGACATTATGTGGTTGTGATGTCTTAGACATCAATGATGTTCATACTCTCTATTTCTCTCATTCTCTCTATCCTTCTCTCTCTCTCCTCCTCTCTCTCTCTCTCTCCCTCTCTCTCCCTCTCTCTCTCTCTCTCTCTCTCCCTCTCTCTCTCTCTCTCTCTCTCTCCATCTCTCTCTCTCTCTCTCTCTGTGATGGATAGCTCGGGATCACGGTTGCCACTTATGGTACTTTAGTACCAAAATTGGTACTTTTTTTCCGTTTGGTACTCTGGTACTCATGTTCAAAAAATGGTACATTTTCGGCGACCCAACTTTATTGTGGATATTGTATTGTTTTATACTTTTTGTACATTTTTTATAAATTGTATTTTCTTATAAAAAGACAATAGAAAAATTTTGGACCTTTTTTTACAGAAATGGTACCTTTTTAAACCAATTTTGGTACAGAAAAAAATTTTCAAGTGGCAACCGTGCTCGGGATAGTGTGATTGTTTTATATATGGGTGGAAAAACATAAGTAGCAATTGTTCGAGCTCTCCAACACCTAAATATGAACAAATCATTTGTGTCTCTTACTATAGCTGAATACCGTGATACTGGTTATGTTCCAACGCCCAGAAAGTGGACACAAAAAAATATTTGCAGTGCATTTTGAAAAAT